ACACACACACACACACACACACACACACACACACACACACACACACATTGATGAAATTAAATAAATCATTAAAATCCTGGATTTCCCTGAGGGGGGAGCAGCCTTACCAGGCCATAGTAGAGGACAATGCAGCCACTTTTGATGAGAACTGATAGACTAAGATCAGAAAGAAGAGGAGAACCTCCCCTATCAGTGGACTTGGGGAGTGGCATGCATGCAGAAAGGGGAGGGAGGGTGGGATCGGGAGGGGAGGAGGGAGGGGCTTATGGGGGGATACAAAATGAATAAAGTGTAATTAATAAAAAATTAAATTTAATTAAAAAAATCCTGGATCTTTGGGTTTCAGTTTCTAAAATGTAGAACTTTAGTTTAGAAGTCAGTTCTTGGAATATGTAATTACTTACCAAATTGATTAGCATTGAACATCGTGCCTTGAAGCTCTCCAGAGAGTTATAGGAACATGTATTCCACTGTGATCTTGGTGGCTGTCAAGTGTATTCACTGCCTGCATCACTTTTGCATAGTGGAAATGGGCAGTGCCAAAGGAGCTAAGTCACCATAGGGGTCCATCAACTTGGCTTCATTTTGGTAAATTGATACTCACAAGTCAATTCAAAGTGCATCCTTCCTCCTGCCCTCTTCTTCCCTTCACTTTTTCCTTTGAAGAAGTTTGTTTCTACTGAGTGAGTCCTGCTTTCTTCTTTCCTTCTTTGAAAAAAAAGTGACAAAAACGGTTTGTTTTTTTACCTTCAAACATTCTTATTAGTGATTTTATACACAGAAAATAAATTTCCAAGAAGGTCTGGCAAACACTTTTTGGACATGCCTTCACTTGAATATTCAAGACTTTTTGCATGTATGAATAGGCACATTTTCAGACAATTTGGGTAAGCTTTCCAACCTTACTTCTTTATTTTCTTTTGAAACAACTCTTTTTCATGTCCATGGCATGTTTATGTAACATTGAATAAAACTTGTAATGGCAATTTTTTTTGCGTGACCTCCCTGAGAGGCTGAGTTATGGAAAAAAAAATCTTATGAAACTTGAGCCTGATGAAATTACCTCCATTGAGAATATCACTTGGTACAGAAAAAACAGGCTTAATCCAGTTATTTTTGGTCTTTTCATAAATGAAGTCTGTTTCCTTTCATATAGGTAGTGGAAGAAATTAGCCCCTGCAGAAAGTCTATTCTCAGATTGAAATTGAACTTTGGGTTTCTTTTGATTTAGGAGAACCTTGGATAAGAGCATGTTTAACTGTCTTTACTTGGATCTCAAGCAACTTGAAATCTCTCCTGCTGTTTGCATGCCTTGTATTTTCCAAAAGTCTTTGCATTTAATTTTCTGGAGGCTGACCTTCAGTTTGACATCATATATGGGTAGATGCTAATGAATCCTATTTTCACCTTCCTAGCACTTCTGGAGAAATCAGTCAGCCGAAGGCGGGACTCTGAAGCTGTACAGAAGGCCAAAATCCTTTATTCATCCTGCATGAATGAAAGTGAGTAATAAAGAAAATAAAATAAATAAGATATTTACGATCCTTATACTTTATAATTCTATTAATGTTCAATGGTATTGTTAAGGAAGAGAGAACTAAATTTCTATTACTGTTTAAGGGTGTTACTCAGGCAATAAAAAATTCTCAAAGACTAAATTTTGATGAGTCTTCCTTAGTCAATCTGTGGTTGTTGTAGGGAGGAAAACAATCTTGTAAAGACATTTTGATTTTATTATTTTATGTTTATAATTAGGTATACATGTGTTCGGGTATGTGCATATGAATGAGGACAGGTGGGCTATAGAGGTCAGATGATATTGTAGGATCTCTTGGAGCTGTAGTAACATTCTGTTACGTGCCCAACATGAGTGTGAAGAATTGTACTTAGGTCTTCTGCCAGGACACCCTTTAATCTTAACAACTGAGCCATCTCCCTAGCCTCAAGAAAATAATCTTATTTCCATGACTGGATTATTTGATATTGCTTACTATATAAAAAATTTGGATAGTGTATCAGGGAAAAGCTTATTGTATTGGTACAGAAGTCTGAATCCATATCTAGGCCAGTTCTGATCTAAGAAAAATCCCGAGACAGCATATGCTTATGAGAATTATGTTCTATAGAAACTACAGGAATCTAGTGACATTCAGATTTCCAGGCATGTCAGGCTGTTTTGTCATGCAACTGGCGTGCTTACTGGTAGACAAAGGCCTCAAGGTGCTCTCTCAAGGCCATTTCAGAGTTGAAGCCAGTGCTTCTAAAGTGCGTTATCTGATTTAGGACTTGGGGATATCGTTTGGTATTCTAGAAACACCTATCTACTGGGGCATCCTTGTCTTCAATGAACCATATTGTTTAGTTAGAGTTATTCCTTGGTGCCCATACTACATACCACAAGCTTAATTTCATTCATTGTCTAGGATCTATGCAGTAAGTCCATTTTCATTCTAGAGAACATCCAGCAGGTTTACTGAAGTGTGTGATAGGTAGTTCTGCTCCTCTAATTATTCTAATCCACTCTACTTTTCTCACCCTCTCCCTAAAAGCTGAAGTTTCAACTGGAGGGCTTTATGGGAATCTTCTCTAGAGAAGATGAATTCTAGCTTAGTGATCCAGTTTGCAATTCATTTTGGTTATTGTTTTGAGTCAGGGTCTTATGGAGCCTGGTTGGCTTTGAGAAGTCACTGTGAAGTTGAACATGGCCTAGAATTTATGATCCTCTAGCCTCTACCTCCCAAGTGCAAGGATTAGTGGCTTGGACCATCACACCTGGCTTCTAGTTTATAATTCTAATTTGCCCTTTGTATCTACTCTTTCAGAAGCTATTGAAAAAGCAGATGCCAAGCCACTGCTCCACATCTTGCGGCATTCACCTTTCCGTTGGCCAGTGCTTGGAGCTAATATTGGTCCTGAAGGAGTTTGGTCAGAGAGAAAATTCAGTTTACTGCAAACACTTGCAACGTTCCGAGGTCAATACAGCAATTCTGTGTTCATCCGTCTGTATGTGTCTCCTGACGACAAGGCATCCAATGAACATATCTTGAAGGTATAGCCAGGGCAGTTTATTCATTCTAAGATTAGCCCTTTAGGATGTCATGTATATAGATGATTTTGATTCACACAGTGATATATCATTGCAAATGGTAACTGTTTTATTTTTCACTTGGAAATAAACTCAATATTTGATTTATTTCTTTCAATTAAAAACAAGGAAATCATGAAAATTTCAGACAAATGGTGGGAACTAGAAAAGATCATCCTGACTGAGGTATCCCAGAAGCAGAAAGACACAAACGATATATAGTCATTTATAAGTGGATATTAGACATATAATATAGGATAATCATACTAAAATCTGTACACCTAAAGAAGCTGATCAAGAAGGAGGACCCTGGGTAAGATGATGAATCCTCACTCAGAAAAACAAATGGGATGGACGTTGGAAGAGGGAGAAAACAGGAAACAGGACAGGAGCCTACCACAGAGGGCCTCTGAAAGACTCTACCCAGCAGGGTAACAAAGCAGATGCTGAGGCTCATAAACTTTTGGGCAGACTGCAGGGAATCTTAGGAAAGAAGGGGGAGATACTAAGACATAGAGAGTACAGGAGCTCCACAAGGAGAACAACAGAACCAAAATATCTGAGCACAGGGGTCTTTTCTGAGACTGGTACTCCAACCAAGGACCATTCATAGATATAACCTAGAACCTTTGCTCAGATGTAGCTCATAACAGCTCAGTATCCAAGTGGGTTCCTTAGTAAGGGGAATAGTAGCTGTCTCTGACATGAACTCAGTGGCTGGCTCTTTGATCACCTCCCCCTAAGGGGGGAGCAGCCTTACGAGGCCACAGAGGAAGACAATGTAGCCAGTCCTTATGAGACCTGATAGGCTAGGGTCAGAGGGAAGGGGAGGAGGACCTCTCCTATCAGTGTACTTGGAGAGGGTCATGGGAGGAGAAGAGGGAGGGTGGGTGGGATTGGGAATGAATGAGGGAGGGGGCTACAGCTGGGATACAAAATGAATAAACTGTAATTAATATAACAAAATGAAAATCAAAATTAAAGAAGAGATTCATAAAAAACTGACAAGTAAAATAAAAATAGAACAATAATCTAGTTATTTAAGAACTCAACGTATATGTATGCCGGGCTGGCCTCAAACTTGCTGTGTACCCGAGAATGACTTTGAACTCCTGGTCCCACTGCCTTTACCTCCTGAGTGCTGAGATTACAGGATTTTATCACCATACCATGTTTATACAGTGCTGGAGACTACACCACATGAATGCGAGGATAGAACCCTGACAACTGTACCATATGCCCAGTTTGGGTGCTTTCCTAAAGAAAGAAATTCATGCTGACCTAATGAAGTGGTGAGGTAAAAATTCAGCTGAACTTTAGGAGCTAGCATTATGGCCTGCTCCAAGAATTACAGAATGTAGATCATTAGCAGCAAACTGTCAGCCTTTCAGGAACGCTGTGAGTGGCTTTCAAGTGATCCATGCTCTCACACTCAGATGCTTTCTCCAAGTATGTAAATTCCAGCTGGGAGAGGGCTGTGTGTCTTCTGTGATGGTAGAAGACTTTCTGAACTCTGCTCTTTCCATCACCTCCTTGTTCCTCTGACAGAAGGGAGAACACATGCTAGATTCCCGGTTCCCCTTTCAGGAACAACTTGAGTGCACGCCTACATCCCCATTGTCAAGTTCAATCTGCATCTGTCCTCCTTCCTTTCAAAAGGTAAAGCGGAATTTATTCTAAGCACATTTCCTACTGGGAGAATGAGCATAAAGGCAGGGATCAGTTAGATGTGCCCTGAGGTGGATCGCATTGGTGAAATTAAGAGGCTGTCAGAAAATTATAGACCACAAAATATTCATCAATGAAAGAGGGTTTTGCAAATTCAAATAATATTTCCCAAGTCATTTTATGCATTCACCCTGCTGTGTTTTTCTTCTACCATAGAAGAAGAATAATGATGCTCCTGCACATTGATTTCTACCCTAATCTCTCCTTTGTCAAAGCAGAACATACTAAGGATATATCAATATTAAAACTATAGGACTATGAAACCATTAGAGTGTATTTCCTCATCCAACATAAGCTAACTATCCAAAATCAAAACCACGGAGTTACTCTTGTGAGTTATGTAAGAGGTGGGCAATGTGTTTTCTATAAAAGGACAGACGGTACGTATTTGAAGTTTGGCTGGCAATCTGGTCTCTATTTCAACTATGGAACATTGCCATTGTACCTGGGAAAGCAGCTTTAGATGATGAATGGATATAACTATGTGACAAGCTGGCCCAAAGGCTGTAGATTCCTGACCTCTACTGTAGACAGTGATAGGTGTCAAGAAACATGTTTGGTTGTTGAAGAATTCTTACTCAGAAGGAAAGTTTTAGTTTCAAAGACAGCTGTGTGTCTGTGTTAGTCGATGAAGTAGCAACATGATATTGAGCCGTCTTGTAATGCTATTATGTGAGATACAATGATGGTTGCAATTCCAATCAGCCTCTGTTCTATGTGGATGGAGGACTCAATTTTTTAAAGCCAGACTTTAAGACTATTATTCTCAATTGCAGAACTATTATGGTATTCTTCCAAACACTTTAGATGGTGTTTTAAAGTGAGAAAGAGACTATCATTCAAATGCAATTTACACCCTCTGTGGAGTGGTAGCTGATTTTGATTCACACAATGATGCATCATTGCAAAGATAACTATTTTATTTTTCACCCATTTCTAGACCTAGCCAAATAGCTGAATCGTTTCTTTCATATTTTAACATAGAGAAAATTAATAACTAAAACAAAATAGAACAATAAACTCCTATATATTTATGAAACCAATTTCAATACCTTCAGCTTTATGCTCTTTTTGCCTTATCTAAACTTTTCATTTTTGGACGCTGGAACATTTCATAGTATATCTAATTATTTTTTTTTTGAGACAGGGTTTCTCTGTGTAGCCTTGGCTGTCCTGGACTCACTTTGTAGACCAGGCTGGCCTCAAACTCACAGAGCACCACTTGCCTCTGCCTCACTAAGTGCTAGGATTACAGGTATGTGTCACCACACCCAGCATGTGAAGGATTCTTATGACAAACAAAATACAATCATTTTTTTCCATATGTAACATCTAACATACAGTTAGTTTTCAATTTTACTGATTATAGCAAACATTTTTTATTTTTTTATGTGGTGGAGATAGAATTTAGGACCTCATGCATGTTAAGCAAGTGTTCTGCTATCAAGTTATACCATCAGGCCCTCAAACGTGTCTTTAATAAACCCCAACCAGAAACAGTTGCTTTTTAATTGAGACTAAAATTAAGAATTAATCACATGTGTACTCTTTAAGTTTGATTTAACCTGTAGCAGTCACCACCTTCTCTTTGTATTTTTAAACCACATTTATTTCCCAAAGAAACTGGATTATTGCTCCTATATATTTTCCACACAATCTGATTTGTTTGATTTCAGGATAAACTAATAGCTCATGAGACAAAGTTTTCAATTTCTAGGAGACCCATTCAGTGGAGGAACTTGAGAGATGCTCAGTAGTTAAGAGAGCTTCCCTTTTCTGAGGAGAAGGGGAGGGGAAAAGGGGGGGAAGAAGGAAGGAGAGTGGGACCTGGAAGAGAAGAGGGAGGGGGCTATTATAGGGATGTAAAGTGCTTAAATATATAAATTAAAAACAGGGTGCACATACTCTTCTTGCAGAGATCTGTTTTTTATCACCAATGTCAGGTGCCTCACAACTGCCTGTAACTTCAGGTTTAGGGGATCTTACACATTCTCTGGTTTCTGTGTGTAGCATTCTTGGGTTCCTGTCTACACGCAGATACACTTACCGAAATATGCTAATAATTTTTTAGAAAATATTTATATTTGCTATTTTATGTGTGTGTGTGTGTGTGTGTGTGTGTGTGTGTGTGTGTGAGAGAGAGAGAGAGAGAGAGAGAGAGAGAGAGAGAGGGAGAGAGAGGAGTACAGATGTCCTTGGGAGCCAGAGGCTTCACATTCCTTGGAGCTGGAGTTGTAGGTAGTTTTGAGCCATGAATATGGATCCTGGGAACTGGATTCAGGTCTTCTGCAAGAGCAAAAACTATGTGCTTTTAACCACTGAGATATTTCTCTGTCCTACATATGCACAGTGAAAAATTAAAAAAAAGAGAAATAAAGGGTTAGATAACTACAATTTAAATCATTGAAGAGACAATGGATGTGGGAAACTATCGTCAATAGCAACTAAAATGATCTGGTGAGCATTTGGAAAATTCATGCAATGGTGTCACTAGAACTCAATTATCAATGGTAGCATTTGTAAAAATGAGATATTGTGTGCCTCTTGATACCAGTGAGAGTAAAACACCATCACCAAAGACATTGTGCCAAAAAGCACAGAAACAGAAAACAAAATTCTTAAAACTAGTTCAGTATCCACCTTTAATGCCAGTTTATAGAAAAATTAGGGAAGCAGAGGGACATGCTAACATATTGCCTTGCACACTTAATATTCAATTATACTGGTACTAGAAACACTGTCAATAATAGAATACTTTCCAAATGTAAGGAGGTACTTGTGTACTTATCATTGCTTTCTTTTGCCAAGATGGCAGCTTGTTTCAAACGGAAGTGTTTAAGCATTGCTTGGCATTTGAGTACAGCTCACAATTGGCTTTATTCCTTTTCCTGTTTGTACCAAATTGCATGAGTGAATATTCACACATCCGAATTAACCTCCTCCCTGGAACAACATAAAGCTACAGTTTTCATAGTCATGAACAGCTTTAAGCATGTATCTAGAGATGGCGGGAACAATTTTTTTTTTCTGAGATGTGTATGAAATTTAATGAACCTAACAACAAAGTTTGTGTATTGGTGGCTGCCAAAATTTTAGAACTTCTATGGATGCATTGGCTGTTTTGTTTTGTTTTTTTTTTTAATTTCTAGGGGCCCACAGAGGAAGACTATGCAGCCAGTCTGTATGAGACCTGCTAGGCTAGGGTCAGATGGAAGAGGAGGAGGACCTCCCCTATCAGTGGACTTGGAGAGGGGCATGGGAGGAGATGAGGGAGGGAAGGTGGAATTGGGAAAAATGAGGGAGGGGGCTACAGCTGGGATACAAAGTGAAAAAAAACTGTAATTAATATTTAGAAATTAAAATAAAAAAAAAGAAAACAGAAGAGGAAAAACATTTCTAGGAGCCCATGAAAAGAGACTGGAGATGTAATAAGTTCAATGTCTGAAACCCACTTGCTGGAAGGAGAGAAGTTTCCTTCAAGTTGTCCTCTGACTTCCACATGTACACTGTGGCATATTCATGCATGTACGCACACACGTACACACATTACATGTAATTACATTTACACAAATTACATTTCTTTTTTAATTACATAGCTTGGAAAACATTTGTGTAATGACAAGAGTTGGCTCTCGTATCAAGGACATTGAAGCTTTGAGAGTTCCTTATTTTCCTTGTGTGTGTTAGTTCATCTCTCTTGAGCCTCATTTTATCTATGGGCAAAAGGAAGATTAAATTATCACTTACTTGTTGTTGTTACTATTTGGTTTAGATCACTTGAACTTTGTGAGTTTCTATGGTATATACTTATCAACTGTGGCATATGACAAGACGCTCTCTTTTCTTGAAGCATGGCCTATCAATGGACCAGGACCATTTGAACAATGCTTCTTTTCAGTTTGAATAGTTGACATGCCTTTTTGGTCTATGATTTGATTGCATAAGATTCAGGTATTTTTCCTTAGCCTAATTTTTGACCTTTAGCAGGTTCCCACTTTAGTGTTAGAAGAACATATGGTGCCTCTAGTGTAGACAAGAAAATGCACTCCTTTTAATGGACAGATATGTCTCCATCCTCAAGATATGCAGGCTGACCCACACATTGGGTTTTGGAAAAGCTCCCCTGTGTCAAGGTGGTAGAGGTTTGCAGACACAATGATGATAGACAACAGAAAGGAATGTTACGGAGTATCTCCCTGCTACATGTACTTAGGTTTGTCTTATGCCTGGTGGGAGGAATCGTGAGGATTTAAGGGACAATGAAAAAGTGGGATGTGCATTCTCGAAAGACTGTTTGGAAGGTGAAGTTGTCCTTGTATAAGACAACTCAAAGTCATTGGCCTGCATTTTTCTGGCTCTCTGCAAAAATCATGATGTCAACCACAAATCCTCTTAGGAATGGAGTTTCTTTAATTTTTGTTTTTCCTTTTATATATCATAATTTTCAGGTGTTCCTTTTGGTATTATTACTTTCTCTCCTAACATGTTTTATTGTAATTAGCATATCAATTGTAATTAGACAAAACTCATATTTTCAGTTCAATGTATCTAATTTTCTCAAATCACTTTTGAAAAAATTACATAGCACAGACTATTATGTAATTCACTCCATAGCCCAGATTGGTCTGAACTGCCAGTCCATGTACATCTCAAGTGCTGAGATGAACATTTTCATTTCTTTTGAAATGGAAACATTCAAATCAGTTGTAAATGCAAGAACTTTAAAAATCAGAAAAATACCATGTACTTGTGTGGGTTTCTTGAGAAATACTTTGCCTCAGGAGTTTGTGTGTTTCTAATGAGATTTAACTGACTGACCTTATTCAGTCCATTTGGTGTATTTAAAATGTTCCCTAAAAAATATAAAATCTGAGGGTTTAGAAAGGGTATGGTAACTTCACTTGAATTATCCAAACTTTTACCTTTCGTGGGTTTAACCTCATTTCATTAGAGGAACCTGTGACTTTCTTAGTATTACTTGTTTAGTTTCCTTTCCTCTGAGGCTGAAGCTCACAAGAGTCACTGAAAGCCAAAGCATCTTAATTAAAATATTTTTGTTCTATGATTCTGGCTTACTTAATTTTTGGAAGAAACAATAGCAGATTGGGAATTACAGTAGGATGAAGCCAGGATAGCTTGTGACTTTGTTGTTTTAGGCCAATTAGCAATACACACAGGATATAAGAAAGTTCTGAATGCATTTTACTCAAAAATCAATGCCAGTATTTCCTTTAATTTTATAATAGCACCACTAAAACTTGGGCTTTTATAGACTTTTCTTCATGTGAAGGGGATTTTCATGGAATACTGTAATTTTATATAGATTTTATATATGAAAAAGGGATAAAATACTTGAGATTAAAGTTGTCTGATTATAATTTGTGTTTTTATCACCTATTCTTTGTAGAGAAGGTTCTAAAAGACACAAAGATGTTTCAAAAATATCAGTTGATTCTTTTTGAATAAAAAAAATACATTCTTTTGAGATAGGAAGGTAGAAAGTCTAATGCATCAGCTCCAACCAGATGGGCATCTTAAAGCATTACAGAAAGTGATTTTACTATAAGCTCTGTCCAGTCATGTGACCTTGAGAAAATCATAAATTCTCTGGGTTTTGTCATATAATCTCTGATATCTGTTCCAATTCATGTAGCCTTAGTGCTATTCAGTGTTGGCAAAACCTCAAGGACAGAAAGCATAAATCAGAAAAGAAGGGAACAGGTCTCTGATATTTTCAGTCTCTCAAAAGGCCGATTTGCATGCAGTTCTGAATGGAGTGAACTTACTTTTTTGTGATAATGACTCAAGCTCAAAATATGGCTGGGCTACCAAGAAGCCCATGAGGCTTGTTAGCATGGTATGTAAGAGTTTAAAATATCAATACCATGCATTGTTCTTTTGTCTTAATAGCTGGACCAAGCAACACTCTCCCTGGCTGTGAGGGAAGACTTCTTGGATAATAGCACCGAAGCCAAATCTGTAAGTTTTACTCATGTTCAACTACATGTTTTGTCTGGTTACTCTTTGGTTTATCAATCGCTTTCAAATGCCTCCTTCTTTCCTGGGTATTAGCATCATCAATTCACTGAACACATTCCCAGTGCAGGGAGCAGAGACCCTGTGTTTAGGTCGGTAGTTCTTAACGTGTGGGTCATGACCCCTTTGGGGGTTGCATGTTAGATATCCTGTATATCAGATATTTACATTGTAATTAATAACAGTGTCAAAAATTACAGTTATGAAGTAGCAACAAAATAAGTTTATAGGTGGGGGGGTCATTGTTACATGAGGGACTATATTAGAGGGTTGTAGCATTAGCAAGGTTGAAAATGGCTAGTTTAGAAGACAATTCTACTTCCTGTCTTGTAGAAGTTGGAACATCAAGGCTGTATAAATTTCCCATTCAGTGCCATCATCACCTAGATGAGGAAATAGCCTATGCAAATGAAATAACCAAGATCTGAGTTTACAGTCAGTCCTCAGAAATGCAAATCATTCACTATCATTTGCCAAACTGAAGAATACTCAAATCTGTATTGGCTTAAAGTGTCATCTTGGAAACTCATCATGTGGATCAAGCCATGGTGATTTGCCAGACAAGATGGGGGCTGGGATATTTTGCATGTGCTCTGGGTTAATGATGCATAATGAGGAACAGAAAGGATCTGTCAGGTTAGAATTCTAGACTTAGTTTGTAAACAGGGTAGTTTCCAAACCAGTGTCTAGACAGACACTGGACAGGGCTAGTTCATTTTGACAATTTGAATTCACTTTGAAAAAAATTGTTAACCCTCCAAAGAAGCCTCATGCCTCACACCCGGGTCTCCCGAGGCTGTGCTGATAACCTCTTAGGCGTCTTTCAGGCAGAGAGGACATTTATCAAAGGAGGTTCCCAAGTTTTCCTTCTTGAGTCAGATTTGCCAGATTAGGGAACCTTTGCTTCTGCTGTGATCTCAGCAACCAGCCATGAAATCATCTCTCCCTATACATAGGTAACCAAGACCAAGCAACGATATCTTTATGAGGAATTCTTCCTCCAAGCACCTGGTCCCTCTTTTTCATCTGTACTGTCATAGATCATGTTGCTGTCTGCTGTTGCCTTAACTACAGCCATTCATATTTACCTGAAACCATCTTCAGTCAGTAGCCCTTTAGTACCACCTGGCAAGTTCTGTGCCCACACCACCACTCCCAATATGTCTTGCTCTCCAGATCGAATCTAAATTTTTTTGAAAAGGTTCAAGGTCTTTTCATTGCTTGCTTTCAGCCTTGTCTTTTCCACCTTACCTGTTTTTGTTCTTCCTCCAAGAGAAAGACCCTTCTTTTACTGTTCCCTAACCCCATGCCCATCAAATGGTATGTCTTCAAATTTTCTGGGCTGGAATATTCTAGTTTTTCAGCTTTCAGGCATACAGTGACTTTATTAAGACACGGTTTTTGCTTGCCTCATGTTATAGCTATTCCATGTTTGTCTTCATCACTAGAGCACCCACTTAGAAACAGAATCAAGCATTATTTAGTTTTTTGTATGTATGCCTTTTCCTATCATATGCACAGCCTGCCTAGCAAGCCAGCTTGCATGTGTACTAAGCTTTCTGAACAGTTTTTTAGTTGACTTGGGAAGGGCAAAACATTCTTTCCAATTAAGACTATTAGCAAGGCTTGCTGACTGAATTTCATTTATTAAAAGTCTGGCTATCTACCAAGAAACATATAAGTCTTAAGGTCAGTCACACAGTAAGAATAGCTTACAGGGTCAAGGTGTACCTTAGAGATAACTCTGTATTTGATAGTTGCTAGGTTTGTCATCATTTCTCCTTTTTCTCCCTGAGCCAGGAGGAGAACTCCATAGAAACTGAAACTGAAAAGACACAGGACTCCAATCACTGTCATCATCTTTTATTTCTTAGTGTGAAGCTGGGTAAATGGAGCTGGATGGGAATAAATCACACTTCGCATTAGTGTTCATGGATCAGTTCCTCTGCCTTTGGAAACAGTTCTTTCCCATTACTTTATTAAAGCGTCACTTGCCTGAGCAGGAGACACCTGACCTTTACCTTTCGATTCTGGACTCATTTGGAGATGTTTCTTTTATCCATAATATCACCAGTTATCAGAAAACTAGTTTGCTTGATGTTTGATGCCTGGGCAACTCTATCTGTCACAGAAATAGTACCCATGCACTCATCACTCTTATTTTTCCTCTCAAAGTGGCAGGTAGGTGGCTGGCATTGTATAATGCTGTTATCATCCTCCAAGTACAGAGTAAAAATGAAGGAAGCTTATTTTCACCTACTGTTTCTGCTCTTCAGTGTCTCTAAAATATACTTCCTACCAGGCTGTTGTCATGGCCACTTGTTTTTTATCTCTTATAGTATCGGGATGCCCTTTACAAATTCATGGTGGACACTGCTGTGCTTTTAGGAGCTAATAGATCTCGAGCTGAACATGACATGAAGTCAGTGCTTAGACTGGAAATTAAGATAGCTGAGGTAAGTCTTAGATGCAACCCTTCTTCTTCTTTCATTTTTTAAATGCCCTTTTCTTTTTCTTATTTTGTAAACAATACATGCTGAATGAACAGATAAATTACAACCAAATGGTAGCCTTCTGTGCCATTGCCCTTTGCATCCAAGGAAGTAAAAAGAACCACGAGAGGAATTCAGAGCTCCTCATTCCTTTCACTTCTCTGGTTTAAGCCTTTTCAATGTCTATGTGCTACTCCATTGTGGTCGAAGAATGCCAGCAAGGAAATCTGTTTTCCTGGAGAAATTCTTAGATGGCTCAAATAGAAGACAGATGTTCAATAAATACTGATTTCATTGAAAGTTGAGTTTCCTTTTTTTCTGGTGCTAGAGGTTGAATGCAGGGGTTCACACATGCTAAGTATATATGCTATCACTAACCTACACCCCCCAGTCCTAGAAAGGAATTTTAATCCAACCTATTTATTTTGTATCATCCCTACTCAGAGTGACTATGATAAATTTTGAGCTCAGAGAAGTTTATCAAGATTGGATATGAAGTTTTATGCAGAGAACTGTATAGGGCACACTTTAAACTTTAAAGCTGCCTTGGAGGTTCTACATTGTACCTATCATTCTTTACTTTTACATTCTTTCATGTTTTTTCCAAGACAAGATCTAACTCTGTAGCCTCAGTTATTCTGGAACTCCGTAGGTAGATAAGGATGCCTCTGCCTCCCAAAGTGCTGGGATTAAAGGTGTGTGCCACCATGCCCAGTGATGGCTGTCCTTACATTCCCTTTTTTGTGTTGCTTTAATGATTGTCAAAATTCTGAGTAAGTCACCTTAAATTCTTTCTGACTCATGTTAGAGAAAAAAAGGGGGAAGGGAGTGAAAACCAATTTGTTGGAGAATGATATATCCTAAATAGTTAGACTTATTTATAAAATGACTGCTTTCTGGAAGAACCAATGTATTAAATTCCTAAATGTTCTGATGTCCAGAGAGAATAAATATGGTGACATTTGCTAGTGGAAGACCTTGGCAATCTTTTATAATGGAAGCTGCACAAATTCTGAGGTCCAAGTGTTTATTGGTTTTGTGTTCTGTAAACAGGTGGTGTTATGTTGAGATATGGAGTTGGCATGAAGGGCAGGGTTGAGGAATTAGTTCTCCCCTTACAGTGATGATGTCCACTCCAAATGATATCTTTCTCCAAATTCCTACTTACAACACAAAGGTTCTTTTTAGGGGCTGGGTTGATGGCTCAGTAGGTAAAGCACTTGCATACCAGCATGAGGAGTGGGATTTGAGTTCCCAGAACCCAGGTAAGGACAGGAGTCATGGCATTCATGTGTAATTTCAGTGCTTCTACTTTGAGATGGGAAGCTCATGGATCAGCTAGCCTTGTAGTGCAGTAGCAGACAAAAGAGAGAGAGAGAGAGACAGAGAGACAGAGAGACCGAGAGAGAGACTCCTTCAGACAAGGTAGAAAGTGAGGACCAGTGCCCCAAATTGTCCTCTGACCTGCATACATGCACTGTGCACATGCATGCCTTCACAGTTCAGTTTTGAAAACACTTTTTATCAGGCCTGTTCTATTCTAGGGCTCATTATACTGTCTTTTTCTTAAGATTTTTCTCTCTCTGTCTTTCTACTTCACTCTATATTAAGACATATTCTTAATGAACATCATTTTACAATGTTTATTACTGCACGTCACTTGAAGACTCTTGCGGATATGCCTATAAGACATGTCTAGAGGCTGTCTGGAATTTGAATAAGCAAATAAGAGTCCCAGAGTACTAATTTGAGCTGAAGGTGTGATAAAAATCATGGAATGCTTTGCCTTGAGCCAGAGAGTTAGACCAAAAAGAAATCCGAAAACAGCTGGCTGAGGTTGAGAGGGTAAATGAAGTGACAAATACATTGTTTGGAGGGGAGCAGCTGCTAGGAGAGCTGAAGACAGCTTTGAGGCCAAAGGGCTTCAAACTGGAGTTGAGAAGGGAGAAGGAGGGTGGAAGAGACAGGCAAAAATACTGAGGCCATGATTCAGGATTCAAAAACAACAAGGCAATGATGAGGGACTTGTCTCCTCTCTCCAATGGAGAGTGGGGAGGGAGACGTTAATGTACCAGAGCACTTCAAAGAGAGAGGCAATTGCTTGCCATTCAGCTCCTGTGATTTTTGCCTTGAAATATCTGTGGTGTGTGGATTTTTGGCCTGTTAGGAATGTTCCTCTCATTCCCTTAGTCTTTAGGTGACTAGGCATATTCAAAATTACTGACATACATAGTCTTAGCAAAGTTTCTGAGGCTGAGGAGGGGAAAAACGCATAATCAAATCCACATAAGTAAAACTAGCTATAAAATATGCATCTATTCTATCCCTGTGTGAGACACTGAAGAAAGAGAGAGAGAGGACTTGTCCTTGCAGTGGCACTGGTGATTAGTACCAAGCAGAATTCTGCTGCAAAAGCTTGTTAGAGAACATAAACCTCAGGCAAAGTCTTAAATCAGTCCATGCCATGGAGATGGTGATCAGAGGCAGGAAGTATGATGATAAGAGGGTTGTAGGTGAGCTAGGAGATGGCAGGATGAATGCAAGGGAATAGAAAGAGAAAAGGCCCTGAAGGACAGTGATAATGTGGGGAAGGGAGCTATGGTCATCTGTCAATGGAATTGATGAAGATGACTCTTGAGGCAGAATCATTGTTGCAATTCTTGGATTAAATATGGTAGAGACTAGCAGCTTGTGAAACACCTACAGTGGGAAATCTGAAGGTGAGAGAAAATGACCACAGGTATCAAAAATATGCACATTGCTTTCTGTCATTGACTTTTTTCCCCTAGAGGTGAAGGAGTTGAAGTCATTGTCAGGAGACAATAGGTAAACATGGAATGTTGACCTTAATTGTACAACTTCAGCTTGACTGTCAAAACTGAGCCAGTAATGGACTTGGCCCATCCACATAGTAGAGGAAAAGGGCATTCTGGGAACTTTTTGTACTAGGGATAATATTTGTCACTGAAGAGGACATATAAATTTCTTTTTATTTTCTTAATCCTGCTTAAAATGCTGTTTTTTTTTTTTTTTTAATTTTCTCTCCACAGCTAGGCATCACACCAATGTCTTGAAAAAGTTGATAATCATATACAGATGTTTGGCACACGTGAAAAGCAGTCATCCAATAATAAATGATACATTTGAAAAAATAACCCAAATTTCTTTTTGACAGATAATGATTCCACATGAAAACCGAACCAGTGAGGCCATGTATAACAAAATGAACATTTCAGAGCTCAGTGCTATGATTCCCCAGGTTGGTGAAAACTCTCTCCAAAAAAAAAAAAAAAAATTCTGTTATCCTGGTATTTTTCCAAGAGATTCTATTTCATCTGTGTATAAAAGTTGGCCTTATAAATCTTACTATTCATCATTTTGATTATCATCATTCTTTTCAAAACTATCATATAAAATATCCTCGTGGGATTTCTTCACTTGCAGGGAATACAAAACAATTTTCTGATAGTGGCTTAAAACTGTAAGGTCACTTTTCTTACAACACAGCCATGGGCAGTAGTTAGTATTGGTTTAATACTGTACAGGTTTCATGTTTACATTTCACCCTCCTTGTGCATTTTGACTTCATTTTGATAACACGCTTACCAAGTGAGCACTGTAGTTCCACACCGGTGCAAGGAGAAGGGGCAAGAACTGAGCATCCCATCTGACTTCTCTGTTTTACCAAGGTAAACAGAAAAGCCCCCTTTCAGAATATTCCTGAATGGCTTGCTTTTAATTCAGAGTAGAATTGTGTCATGTGACAATCCGTGCTGCGGGGCAAGGGGCAGGGAAGTGGGTGCCAGGCAGGTAACAGGTTTTCATGTTCAGTAGCAGAGGCAGACAAGGGGGGAAAGAGTTGGAAAATGGCCTTTAGAGAAGCTAGTACAAAGAACCAAGCAGCATTTTTAAAAAGACACACAGTGATGCTCTATAGAAGGAGATGTATTCTCCTGTTATGTTTTTTTTTTTTTTTCCCTCCTGGAATAAGAGACACTGCACAGAGGAGAAGACCAACAGTGTGCAGAGGCATCTGTTTCTCTGTTTAGGTGAAGAAGGGGGAAATATGAGATTTGGAGGGAGAGTATTAATGGAGGGGATTCAGGGGATTAGAGGAGTGAGCTAAGCTAGAAGAGAAGAGCTGAGCATGGGGTGAGGGAACAAGATAGAAGGTGGAAGGAGAAGAAGGAGGAACAGTTGAGGGAGCGCATCATATACTAATATACGAGAATGTCTAATTTTCCGGAAGTCTGTGGTTCAGAACACGGGCTCCATTTTTAATAAAGGCCCTAAGTCTGAATGGCAGTGATCTGACTTTGGCTACTGGGTAAGCAAGTGATGGGTAGTTTCATCTTTAACGATTTGGCCAGAATGGATTATGCTCACTCAGCCTGCTTTATTTGAATGCCTTTCCTCTTACTTGCTACCTTAACATAGGCTTCATCTTTTTTCTCTCTCCTCAGTTTGACTGGCTGGGCTATATCAAGAAGGTCATTGATACCAGACTCTACCCACACTTGAAAGACATCGGCCCCTCGGAGAATGTGGTGGTCCGCGTCCCACAATACTTTAAAGATTTGTTTAGGATATTAGGCTCTGAGAGGAAGAAGTAAGAACTTTCATGTGCATTTTACTGTGGCTTTTGTTTTCTCTTTAAATTAGAACAGCCTCTATTTTTCATGTGCTTTGAAAATTGCTTTTAAAGAAAGTTACAGCAAAACAGTCATAGGGAAAATTACAGTGCCCTTTGTGATAAATTGGCCTACATCATTGTCTGGGCAAATACACAATGTTTTTGCACCGTATTTGCCCCAGTTTCTTATTTCTCCATACTGTTCTCTCTGAGAACTAAAATTGTTTATTAGTTTAGGAAACTAGTTAGTAATGACGTTATTTCCTGAGATTTCTATATAAACAATTTTCCTCCACAGTTCTTTCTTGATTTTTTGTTGATTTTATTTCTTTCTGGTTATTTTTTTAGGTGGTAAGTAATTTTCTGGCAACAGACTAAATTAGCTATGTTGAAAAGATAAGACTACTTGGAGAGCTATAGGAAAGTGAATGGATGAAACAACTTTAAGGATGATAAAATTTTTCTTTTCTAAAAAAATTATTTATTATTTGTTTATTTTTAAAGGTTATTTTAAAAATATTATTTTATTTTATTAATTACAGCATATTCACTTTGTATCCCAGTTATTGCCCCCTCCCTGAAACCCTCCCAATCCCTTCCTCCATCTTCTTTTCCTACGCCCCTCTCCCAGTCCACTGATAGGGAAAGTCCTTCTCCCTATCCATCTGACCCTAGTCTATCAGGTCTCATCAGGAGTGGCTGCTTTGTTTTCCTTTGTGGCCTGGTAAGGCTGCTCATTCCTCAGGAGAAGGTGATCAAACAGCCAGCCACTGAGTTCATGTCAGAAACAGTCTCTGTTCCCATTACTAGGGAACCTACTTGGAGACTGAGCTGGATACATCTCTGCAGAGGTTCTAGGTTATCTTTATGCATGGTCCTTGGTTGGAGTATCAGTCTCAGAAAAGACACTGGGGGCCAAATTTCTTGGTTTTATTACTTTCCTTCTGGAGCTCCTGTCTCCTCCAGGTCTTTCTATCTCCCCCTTCTTTCATAAGGTTCCCTGCACTCTGCCCAAAGTTTGGCTATGAGTCTCAGCATCTGCTTTGATACCCTACTGCGTAGAGCCTTTCAGAAGCCCTCTGTGGTAGGTTTCTGTCCTGTTCCTTATTTTTTTTTTATCTCTCTTCTGATGTCTATCCCATTTGCCTTTCTGAATGAGGATTAAGCATCTTACCCAGGGTCCTCCTTCTTGTTTAGATTCTTCAGGTGTACAGATTTTAGTATGTTCATCCTATGTTGTATGTCTAATATCCAGTTACTAGTGAGTATATACCCTGTGTGTCTTTCTATTACTGGGATACCTCACTTAGGATGATCTTTTCTAGTTCCCACTATTTGCCTGAAAATTTCATGTTTCCTTGTTTTTAATTGCTGAGTAGTATTCCATTGTATAAATTTACCACAATTTCTGTATCCATTCCTCACTGAGGGACATCTGGGTTCTTTCCAGCTTCTGGCTATTACAAATAAATCTGCTACGAACATGGTTGAGCAAATGTCCTTGTTGTATACTTGAGCATATTTTAGATATATTCCCAGGAGTGGTATAGCTGGATCTTGAGGTAACACTATTCCTAATTGTCTGAGAAAGCGCCAGATTGACTTCCAAAGTGGTTTACATTCCCACCAGCAATGGAGGACGTTCCCCTTTATCCACATCCTCTTCAGCATATGTTGTCACTTGAGATTTTGATCTTAGCCATTCTGATGGGTGTAAGTTGAAACCTCAGGGTCGTTTTGATTTGTATTTCCCTGATGGCTAAGGATGTTGAGAATCTCTTTAAGTGTTTCTCTGCCAATCTATATTCCTCTGTTGAGAATTATCTGTTTAGCTCTCTACCACATTTTTTATTGGATTACTTGATTTGTTGCTTTTTAACTTCTTGAGTTTTTTTTTTTTTATATATTCTAGATATTAGCCCTTTGTCAGATATAGGGTTGGTGAAGATCCTTTCCCAGTCTGTAGGCTGTCGTTTTGTTCAGATGACAGAGTCCTGTGTTTTACAGAAGCTTTTCAGTTTCATGAGGTCTCATTTATTGATTGTTGATCTTAGAGCCTGTGCTGTTGGTGTTCTGTTCAGGAAGTTGTCTCTTGTGCCAATGAGTTCAAGGCTCTTCCCCACTTTTTCTTCTAAGAGGTTTAGTGTGTCTAGGTTTATATTGAGGTCTTTGATCCACTTGGACTTCAGTTTTGTGCAGTGTGATAAGTATGGATCTGTGTATTTTTCTACATGTAGATATCCAGTTAGACCAGCACCATTTGTTGAAGATGCTATCTTTTTTTCCATTGTATGGTTTTGGCATCTTTGTCAAAAATCAGATGTCTGTAAGTGTGTCGGTTTATTTCTTGGTCTTCTATTTAATTCCATTGATCCACCATCTGGTTTCTATGCCAGTACCATGCAGTTTTTATTACTGTTTCTCTATATTACAGCTTGAGATCAGGGATGGAGATACCTCCAGAAGATCTTTTATTACACAGGATTCTTTTAGTGATTCTGGGTTTCTTGTTATTCCATATGAAGTTGAGAATTGTTCTCTCAAGGTCTATAAAGAATTTAATTGGTATTTTGATGGGAATTGCATTGAATGTGTAGATTGCTCTGGGAAGGATGCCGTTTTCACTATGTTAATCCTACCGATCTATGAGTATGGGAGGTCCTTCCATCTTCTGATATCTTCTTAAATTTCTTTCTTCAGAGACTTGAAGTTTTTTTCAAACAGGTCTTTTACTTGCTTGGTTAGAGTCACACCAAAGAACTTTGTGTTATTTGTGGCTATTTTGAAAGGTGTGGTTTCTCTAATTTCTTTCTCAGCCCTTTTTGTCTTTCTTATACAAGAAGGCTACTGATTTTTTTTGAGTTATTTTTGTTTCCAGCCACTTTGCTGAAGGTGTCTATTAGCTAAAGGAGTTCTGTGGTTGAATTTTGTGGGTCACTCATGTATACTCTCATATCATCTGAAAACAGTGATATTTTAACTTTTTCTTTCTGAACTGAATCCCCTTGATCTCCTTTAGTTGTCTTATTTCTCTAGCAAGGACTTCAAGAAGTATGTTAAAGAGATATGGAGAGAGTGGGCAGCCTTTCCTTGCCCCTGATGTCAGTGGGATTGCTTTAAGTTTCTCTCTGTTTAGTTTGATGTTGGCTATAGGCTTGCTGTATATTGCCTTTACTATCTTTAGATATGTGCCTTGTATCCTTGATCTCTTCTGGACTTTAAACATAAATGAATGTTAGATTTCATCAAATGCTTTTTCAGCATCTAAGGAGATTATCATGTGGTCTTTTTCTTTCATTTTGTTTATATGGTGGATTATCATTGAACCACCCTTACATAGCTGGGATGAAGCTTACTTGGTCATAGTGGATGATGTCTTTGATGTGTTCTTGGATTCAGTTTGCAAGTATTTTGTTGAGTATTTTTGCATCAATGTTCATAAGGGAGATTGGCCTGAAATTCTTTTACTTTGTTGGCTCTTTGTGAAGTTTAGATATCAAGGTTACTATGGCTTCATAGAATGAGTATGGTATTGTTTCTTCTGTTGCTATTTTGTGGAATAGATTTTTGGGTCTTGTTTACCTATAAACTCTGTTAGTCTGTGTCTTTTTATTGGAGAGTTGAGTCAATTGATGTTGAGAGAGATTAATGACCAGTGGCTGTTAGAGGCTTTGGTTTTGCTGTTGGTTGTGGTAGTGTGTTTGTGTGCTTGTGTATTTTTTTATTTTTGTTGTACTGAACTTATTTATTTCCTGTGTTTTCCTGAATGTAGTTAGCTTTCCTGGGTTGTATTTTTCCTTCTAGTATCTTCTGTAACACTGGATTTGTGGGTAGGTATTCTTTAATTTTTTTTTCATTGAATATCTTGTTTTCTCTATCTATGGTGACGGAGAATTTTGCTGGGTATAGTAGCCTGGGCTGACATATGTGTTCTCTTAGGGTCTGCATGATATCTGTCCAGGCCCTTCTGGCTTTCATAGTCTCTGTTGAGAAGTCAGGTGTGATTCTAATGGGTTTGCCATTATATGTTACTTGGCCTTTTTCCCTTGCAGCCTTTAGTATTTTTTCTTTGTTCTGTATACTTACTGACTGTTTTGATTATTATGTGGTGGGAAGATTTTTCTTTTCTGGTCTAATTTATTAGGTATTCTGTAGGCCTTTTGTATTGTTATAGACCTCTCTTTTAAATTGTGGAAAATTTCTTCTATGATTTTGTTTGAAAACATTTTCTGGGCTTTGGAGATGGGAATCTTCTTTTTCCTCTATTCCTATTATTCCTATGTTTTGTCTTTTCATGTCCTCTTGGATTTCTTGGATGGTGTCTGTCAGGAATTTTTTAGATTTAACATTTTCTTTGATGGATACATTGATTTCTTCCATTGTATCTTCCACACCTGAGATTCTTTCTTCCATCTCTTGTAGTCTATTGGTTATGCTTACCTCTGTACTTCCTTGTTTTCTTTCCTAAGTTCTTCTTCTCCATGATTTCCTCCATTTTTGTTTTTTTTTTAAATTTTTCCAATTCTATCTTCTGATCTTGACCTGTTTTATTGATTTTCCTCACCTGTCTGACAGTATTTTCCTTTAATTCCTTCACTTGTTTGTTTGAACATTTCTCTGTTTCTTTTATTTCTTTCAGTGATTTAATTATTTCGTCTCTGAAGGCCACAAACTGTTTGGCTGCAACTTCCTGTATTTCCTTATGGATGGCCCTAATCTGTTTGACTTTATCTTCCTCTGTTTTTTTTTACAGATGACCATAATCTGTTTGACTTCATCTTCATCAGTTTCTTTACCCATTTTATTTGTTTCCTGCATTATCCTCTTCATAAGTAGAGATATACAGTCATCTGCTTGAATTTCACTTATGATACGATGTCCAGGGCTGTTTGCCTTTGGATAACTGGGTTCTGGAGATGCCATATTGCTTTGGCTTTTGTTGGTTGAGCTTTTATGCTGGTCTCTATCCTTTGAGC